CGCGCCCACTTGTTGTGAAAGAACGCGAGTGGGACTACTAGAGATAGTATTGTGATGATAGCTGCTACGAATCCACTACGATAGGGGGCACAAAGGACCGAGGGCCGGAGGGACGGGGAGCGCTTTCGACTCCGCGCCTCTGCGTTATTGTCCACCATCCTAGACATGCTCTAGAATCGAAGTTTGCGCAGCTGTTGGTGTATCCAGCGCTGGAAGGGATCGGTTCGAGACCTGGCTCCGAGATCAACGCGAAGAAGCCGCGTTTCCATTATTTCAGCCAAGGTCAGTTCAGTCCGCATGCTGCTTTGCTGTCCGTCATCTATAAGAGACATAGTCTCCATGTTTATAATAGTATTCAAGGAAATAAGTGCGTCGTCTATAATAGACCAGCACCGCACAATGTACGACAGCAACTGCTGGTATATCCCCATATATCTCTTTTTGCGTTTGCTTCGTATGCCGGAAATAGAACGGTCGAACGTGCTCCTGGTCTGACTCTTTTCGGTTTATTTCAAACAACGTGTTCCATGACACTACCTTAGGCGCCGTACCGCTGTTTCGATGCCGTAGGCTGAGAAGGTCAGGCCTGCGCGGCTGGCCGCCGCCCGTTATATACAGCAAGGCCGCAAGGATCTCGCTAAGCCGTTCGTCTTTTCTCCAATAGTTCTGTACTTGCTGTTGCCTCCACCTGCCGTTGCTAAAGAGGCTGTTGGACTGGCTTGTGCAAGCTTTAACAGAGAGCTGGACGTATGCATTTTGGAGCTGGTTTTTCGGATGGCTTACAAAAGAGAAGTCGTGTTCTTTGTTGGAGAGGCTGTCCTAGACCGCCCCTAGATCAACCGGTGGCTCCCACTCGTACATTAGCTCAAAACAAAGCCGGCTTGCCTCCTCAAGCATGAGCGCCGGAAGGCGTCGAAATGCCTCCATGCTGATGGACAAAACATCATTGTATCCTACCGACTGGCCGTCGTTGCTCCACCGTAAAGCCGGTGTGCTAGAGGGCGCTATGGCTCTGCCATACGCCAGGAGACTAAAAAACTCGTCAAGCACCGATTGACAGCTAAAGACCATATACTTTTGCCGTATAGGTCTTAGAAGCTCGAGCCGGTTAGTGCGTAGTCGGCAGCGAATGCCAAGCAGAGGGTATGCTTTAGCTGGGAGGACGTATTTAAGAAACAAGAGGCGTTGGATGTAGATTAACGCAGAAAGGTGGGAAGTGTAAGAGCGAGCTGGGAGGAAACTGCGATAGTCGGTTGTAAACCCAAGGACGCCGCTGTAAAAAACTAGAAGCATAGAGGCTGGCCGACCGTTTGTTTTAGCCTCTGTATAAAAGAGTATAAGTAGGCTAAAGAGCCGTTCAAGCAGCTCGGCCACTAGTGCCTTTGTAGACAAGTCGTCGTTGTCGTCCTCTTCCTCTTCCTTATAGTCGTCCTTATCCTTGTTAGGGTTATCTTTGTCTTCTTTATAGTTATTATTATTATCGTCCTCGTTGTTACTAGTAACTTATATAAGCAGAAAGTAAAAGCTAGTTAAAAGGGACCTAGTAAGATATAAAGAAAGAAAAAGAGCTACTTAAGAAGGAACTCGTCCTATGTTGTCCGGTGCGTCCAGTCTCGTGCACTCTCCCCCTTTCCCATTGCTTGCGCGGTGCAGTCGTGTGTTGTGTGCACTCGTCCTAATCTATACATGCAGACTTTATTCATACATGGCCGACATCTTCCTCCCGTTCCCGTCCCTGCCCTACATCGCAGCCGCGTCGTCCTCCTGGCTGTCCTCGATCACCGTCGCCTTGCTGCGCTTGGTACGCCGCTTCCGTCCACCCTTTGCTCCCCTAGCCGGCGACGGGGTCTCGTCCGGGCTCTGCGAAGGCCGGCGCTTCTGGGCGCGTGTGGGCTCTTGACCCCGCTCCCCCTCTGCGCCGCCATCTTCGTCACCGTCGTCGCCGTCGTCTTCGTCGTCGTCATCCTCTGTCTCCGACTCGCTCTCGCTCTCGCTCTCGTTCTCGCTCGGGCTCGGCTCCAAGGTCTGTTGGCGCATTGCTTCGGCTAGTTCGCCGACTCCTCCCTCGTCTTGCGCCGCCAGCAGCGCGCCCACTATCGCCTCGACCGTCGCATCCTCTGCCTCCAGTTCGGTCGCCAGAGCCAGCAGCGCGCTCGGCCGTGTGTTGACCAGCTCCGCCAGCCCGGGTCCATTGTCTGCGTCCAGAAGACCGAGTGCGACGCGCGACAGCATCGCTCCAAGTCGGCCCATCTTCTCGTCCTCGTAGTCGGCCGCCGTGTGCGGCACGTCCAGCCGCTAGGCGTAGCGGTTAAAGGGCGCGCCCCAGTGCAGGCGCATCACCTCGTACACCACCACTTCGGCGCTCCGTGTCGCTCAGGTGCTCCGGCAGGGTCAGCGCAGCCAGGAGCTGCTTGGCCCACTTCTCGTACAGCCGCTCTTCTTGCAGGCAGGAGTACGAGGCGTCCTGCTTCAGGATCGACCACGTCACATTGCTGTTCTGCCCGATGCGCACTAGTCGGCCCAGGCA